ATTTTGTTTATGCACTAACGAAAGCATTGAAGCCAAGCTATAGTTACACCTTTTTCGAGACTAACTGCAGAACGGATGGTTCCTAGTGTTACAAGAACATCATCTAGGAAGCGGGTTTTCATTGTAGAAATGTGGCGGCCAATATGTACAAATACGTACCAAATACACATGCATTGGTTTGGTTAGTGTAAATACATATCCGATACCCAAACCGAATCAATACATACAAATAGATAGCCAAATGCTTGCACTGCTCCATACATACAAATACGTGCTCAAATACCCGTGCATCGATCTGCAAGTGCAAATACGTACCGCTAATGCCCGAACCGATACATACAAATGTGTACCCATATACCCGTGCACCGGCCAGCAGGTGTAAAACACATACTCATATATCGAGTAGGGCATTTTGGAGGCCGAGCTCCATAGAGATCCTTATATTGAAAAAATCAAAAAATTTGGTTTCAAAAAATTCTGAAAAAAATACATAAGTATGCAAAGGATGTGAAAGTGTATGTGTGAAAAATTTTCAGGATGAAATACCTTAAATTGCAAGCAGCACAAACAAAAAAAAATTCATAGACTTTGAGGATGAATAGTACATATGCTAAAAAGCCTCAGATTTGTCTTTTTTTGTGTAGCTCTTATGTTAACGTATTTCGACCTAAAAATTTGCACACATGTACATTATGTATCTAGGTATATGTGTATTCTTATGCAGATTTTTTTTAAACTGAAAAGTTTGAATTTTGAACTTTTCAAATTAAGGCCTCCATGAAGCTCGGTCTTTGTTTGGCATTTTCGCTTATCTATCCCATCATATATGTTTATATCTTTTTTGACAATTTTATAAAATAGTTATAAGTAAGTAAAAATGTGTTTTAATAATCCATATCTAACATTAATTTGACAAATTGTTCAATTTTATTGGACAAAAGATTAACAACAAACAATTCGTGCACCGGCAATTCAAATGCACGTACCCAAATATCCCATCACATTTGTTTATATCTTTGCCGAAGTCTTTCCTACTTATAAATGTTGAAGTTGGTGATGAATTCACATGTGGACTACACAAATAAATAAATGCAATTCTACCCACATACTCCATTCGTCCGTTTATAAGCGTGGATCTACCGTGCAATTTTTCTCTAGAAAAAGTGTACATTTACACATCTTATGCAATTAATAAATGCAATCGCCTCCTAGTAATCGCTGCCGCCACTCTATCCTCCAATCACATTCTTCTCGCCAGCATCACCTCCCAATCCTCATTCTTGTTCTTTAATTTAGTTGGTGGAGACTAGTAAGAGGAGTGAGAACTAATATGTCACCAATTTTCTAGATGTACACTTATCACCAGACAAAGGAAGTAAGAGAGCAACCTTTCAAGAAATATAAATAAACAAAGTTACTTTTACTAGGTATGAGACCTATCTCAAATAAACAAATACACTGCTACCCTAATGTGAGAATAGCACTCCTGTAAAAAAACACAAATTGTAAATGCAAGTATGCCGCTCCAGTTCAAAATCATAGTCTTGATTTTTGTTTCTCTACCTAACCAATTCTTCCGGTTCCATGTCATAGCAGAAGAGGGCAAACAAATTACAGTTCAACATGGCGATGGTTGTTCTCCTACTACCTAATCGATGATCTTGTGCATTCAACCTACTCACGCCGTTATCCTATGTTTCAAAATTCCAAATGTTATCTCGCTACAAATCTTCCAAAGGACCTAATATGGTCCAAGACTCTTTAGCAACTACAACATGGTCTTTTATTATATTCACACTCCTTTTAATCATGAACCATCTAATAGCTGCAAGAAACCATCATCTTTTGATGATCTCCTAATCTAATCTAGTGGTAACTCCTCGGGTTTTTATGGCTTTGTAGCAATGCACAAGCATTGTGCTAGTTTTATAAAACAGTTACAAATAATTAAAAAAATGTCTTTTATCTAATCCATATCCCAACATTAATTGGAAAAATTCTTTATTTTTATTGGAAAAAACAAAAAAATAGAGACCAACCAAAAGCAAAGTTGTTTGCACTAGCCAACTTTCAAGAGTAAACATTCAACTGTACTACTAGGCACGACATTCGATTTATTATACTTTAGAAGTGCTACTGTCAAAGGCTATGGCGGTAGCCACTTTTCCCATCATTTTGTTAGCAGACTTCTGATCTATTCATCTTTAATCATGATAGTACAACAGACATCAGAAATAGTAAAAGTTACATCCAAATCCCAGGCCACCTAGCGATGACTACAAACATTGAAGCAAGCCGAAGGCGCACCATCGTCATCGTCCCTCCCTCGCCGGACCAACGCAACAGAACAACAATCGCCCCGATTAAGAGTAGCGTAGATCAAAAGGATCCAACCTGAAAACACACAAACACGGACGAACTACGACCAGATCCAAACAAATCCACCAAGGATAGATCCGTCAGAGACACACCTCCACACACACACACCGGTGATGCTAGACACACCACTGGGATGGGGGCTAGGCGGGAAGAATCTTATTCCATCTCAAGAAAGCCGCCCCCGTCTCGTCTTCCTGAGTAGGGCACAAACCCTCACAAAACCCGAATGAGCATATGAAAACAGAGCCCTCCCACTAACAAGGCCCGGGATCCATCGCGCCGCAATGATCCTAAGGCCATCGGAAACAAGACGGACCGGCGCCGGCAACAGCGGAAGGTAAAGGAATCCTAGTCTTTTACTTCCTCCGTTCTAAAATAGATGACTTAACTTTATACTACGTTAGTACAAAGTTGAGTCATCTATTTTAGAACGGAGGGAGTATTAGGGAAGGAGGCGGCTGCGTACAGGAGCCTTTGCCACATCATTTTTGATAGCTAGGATTGACCAAAAGTCTATCGCCGTTGATCATGGCAGTAGCCTATATATTTCTACGCCAACGTGTATACAATAGGAAAAGGGTTAGATTTTTAACCTTTTTACAAACTAAGGTCAAATCGTGCTAATTTTTTGTTAAAGGGTCAAAACAGTGATTTTGTCCCATCACACGACACCTGTCACGTCACCGCACTAGTAGCCTATGCTATCAAGCAACAGCTTGTGCCACAGGACACCCACTCGCAGAGGAAACCGTTTTAAAAAGCTTGCAAAGGCACACGCCGGGCCATACCCCGCTTTCCCACGGGTGGGCCCCCACCCGAGCATAAAGAAAGAAGCCGTCCGCACCCACTGACGGCACGGCCCGCCGTTATCGAGCAAACCGTTTCCTATACGATCTCTGACATGTGGGGCCTCTCTAGTTAGATTGACCGCCACGGCCCCCAAATATCCTTTCCCCCATCGGGAGAGGCCACCACCAGCACGCGGGCCCCGTGCCGTAATCCAAACCACCACCGGCACGGCAGCAGTACACGCTCTCGTCTCGCTCGCCCCCAATACGAACTCGCCGGCCGGCGACGGTGACTCGGCCCGGCCGCGGCGGAGGCGACATGGAGGAGGAGAGGGCGGCGCCGCCGCGGGTGGTGGGGGAGTACGAGCTCGGGGAGATGGTGGGGAAGGGGACGTTCGCGGAGGTGTTCCGCGCCGTGCACGCCCCCACCGGCGCGCGCGTCGCCGTCAAGGAGATCGACCGCCGCCGCGTCGACGACCACGTCCGCCGCGGCATCCTCCAGGAGATGAGCATCCTCGGCAGCCTCTCCCACCCCAACATCCTGCGCCTCATCAACACCATCGAGGTAGGTGTCCCCCCCTTCACCAAATCTCCGGCCCCCGCCGTCCGCGCTACTACTGTAGTCGCGATCGAACTCAGTGTGGTAAAAATGCCTCGCGGTTTTCGCCGCAGACGGGGGAGAAGCTGTTCCTGGTGCTGGAGTACTGCGACGGGGGCGACCTCGAGGCCTACAGGCAAACGCACGGCGGGCCGCGCAACCGGCTGCCGGAGGCCACCGCCAGGGACTTCGCCCGGCAGCTCGGTGAGTTCCCAATCGAGCCGAGTGTTCCCTTTCCCCTTTTTATTACTGTATATCCTGGGACTGTATATGTTTTGATGCGCCACTGCTGTTTGGTGTTTTGGATCATCAGCCGAGGGGCTCAAGGTGCTGAGGGGCCAGAGGATCGTGCACCGAGACCTCAAACCCCAGGTTAGATCTTACGCCCTTTTCTATTGGATTTCTTAGGGTTTACGGTTGGTCTGGGCGTGAACTTTTTTGGCATTTTTGGCTGGAATCTGTCGCTAATTGGGCCAGATCGGTAATTTGTGATGTTTTTTTTTGCGCTAAGCGCCAAAACTAAGAGTAGGGTCCCGTGTAAAAGGGTTTCCATAATTATCAACTGAACTTAAATTATTGGTCAAAAGCTAAGCTTACATTTATAGCCGCAATCAATGTCAGTTTACCATCAAATGCCAAACTGCGTGGAGAATTGTGCTGTTCACTCATGCTTGTATTTGAACTTCAGTCATCAATAACAAATTTCATGTGGAAAATTTGTGTAGTTATTTATCTGGCCTGGTTACTTGTTCTATCGAATATCTTCAGAGATGCATTATTTTCTCCGTACTGATTGAGCTGTGAATCACGCAGAACCTTCTGCTATCAGCCGATGGGGACGCCATTACATTGAAAATTGGCGATTTTGGGTTTGCCAGGTGAGAGGTTTATTCTCAGTGTCGCAGTTATAGGACTATCTTCCGTTCTCTAAAGATTGAAATTGCTGGGGAGATGCAGACCAATACCAAAATATTTAGACCATTATCTGCTGTCAAGTGTTTTTATTTCCACAACGGCATGGTTTATTGGTCTTATTAATACTCACATTTGCTCCAAGCATGTTGGTTCTGAATTCTGTACTCATTGTGAGTTCTCTTTCTGTTTCATTGAGTTTTTTTTATAAGTGCAAGTGTACAACTGAAAACTATCTTCTCGCTTCAGATCTCTGATGCATGAAAATTTGGCTGCCACTTTTTGTGGCTCTCCATATTATATGGCCCCAGAAATCTGGCGAGGGGATAAATATGATGCAAAGGTATGTTTATTAACCGCTTTAAATTCACGGATCTTAAAATTAACCAGGCAATAATGTCTACCTGAAAACTTTGCAGGCAGATTTATGGAGTGTTGGAGTCATTCTTTTCCAGCTAGTAACAGGGGAGCTACCATTTCTTGGGGAGAATAGAGTGGAGGTTTGCTTGTAACACCGTACCATTAGTTGTACTCGCATAATCGCAATACACATATATAGCCTAACACACTGCTGCTTGCGCTTTGTTGACGGATTACAGCTGCGCGAAAAAGTATTGTCATCTAGTGGCCTCAGTTTCCCTCCAGATATAGAGGCTGATTTACATCCTGAGTTTATTGACCTGTGCAGAAGACTCATATGCCTTGATCCAGGTGGGTCTGCCATTTTCACTTCATTTTGTTTCTGGAAATAAGGCGTATGATAATTAATACTCACTGCAGTAATCTTTGTTCAACTTTCTTTTAGGCCATTTAATCTAGCCATTCATCGCAGAATCAGATTGAAAATTGCTTTCAATTTTGCAGCGGAGAGAATGCCTTTTGAGGAATTCTTTAATCACAACTTTTTGGCAACAGCAAGGTATTCCTGTTACTCTGGTGGTAGTGTTTAAAAATCACAAGTCCATGGGGTAGCTTTGAGTAATCTACTTTGCTTTTAGAACTTTTTCTGTATCAAGTCCTGTAAGTTTAACTCAGACGCCTGCTGCCCAAGTGCCCATATGAGAAGCTGCATGTATACCCCAAAAAGAAATGTACAAAAACCACGGGGAATGGTCAAATTCTGTACGAGTGAGCTCATATATGCAAGCTCTGCTCGTCTTTTTTTTGTCCTTGCAACTGCATGTAGATTAGATTTGGAATTGTTCTGGTGCGCATCACAATTTAATGCACGACTGACTTCATCATGAGCTTTTCATAAATGGGGATAACTACTCTTTGTGCAGCAATCCTGCAATCTTTTCTAGATTTCCTGAACGTTTTTGGAATAGTTAAAAGCATGCCATTTTGCACTTGGCTTGGTTGTGTCGTCATATTTATCTCGATTGTTGAATCTTGCTGATTATGCCTTTTCAGGAACAGTGAAATCGTGGATGAATCCCATCATGCTCTTGATTTAAGGGATACATGCCAGACTGTCTCTTCTGCTGTCGTCAAAGTAAAGTCTGAAAGTGTAGATTCAAAAGGTACGCTGGACACTGTCTATAAGTATAATTTGTATTTTATATCCTCTGCTTAGGCACTAATTTTGTATATTTTGCAGTATTTGATTCATGGGAGTGGATTGAACGAGAATATGTACTAGTTCAGGCGAACACTACTTCCATGGAGTTGCTGTCTTCCCTTGAGAAACCAATGAAGGATGTTACAGGTGCAAGACCCCGCTGTGATGATATATTCACTATCAGTGGGCCTGTTCAGAGTCAAAACAGAGACTCACTCTATAGATTGAAATCCCATGGATGTACTCCACTGTCCGCTTCCCGTGAGTCAACTACTATGGAAAATCTGCGAGGGAGGCCACTTGATTGTTATACAAGGCTTCACCTACTGAATCAGTATATTGTCATTCTCACAGAACTTGCTCAGGAGAAGGTACTACTGCTGCTGCAGTGGCAATTAGTATCATGTCTATTGAACACTGAACAGCATGTTCATCTTCATTCTGTCCAGTATTCAAACTGGAACTCCTTAGCTTTTTAGATTTTCTTCATGATCAGTCACTGTTTTTTTACTTCTGCGGGTAATTTGAGCTAGCAGCATAGATTTTTGAGGACATGTAGCAGTGTAGATTTCAATGTGTCGTTAATAAGGATATTTAGTGTTAGTACAACTGGTTTGCCTCTAATTGGACCACCATGCTTTCTCTACTCTGTATATCCCTTGTAGGCATGTTTTCATTTTGTCTAGACTTACTGCATTTTTGTTTAATGTCAAACTCACGACCTTTCAACAAACCATGGTGTGGCTGGCACTTCTTTTTTCTCAGTTTTTGTTACATGGAGTTTTTTTCATAAGTCTCTGTCGCACTGTCTCAAATATCTTTTTGATGATCTTCGCTATGGTATTTATTTGATAATTTGGAAACAGTAATCCCAAATTCATCTCAACCTCACCTATGTTTGCTTTTCTGTGTTATACACAGCTTTTTAAAGGGCTGGACCTGGAGGCACTATCACTTGAACTTGTGATACTTGCTATCTGGAAAGAGGCGCTTAATGCATGTAGCTTATTGCCGGATGCTTTAGATGATGGAAGTTTTCCGACATTTGCACACGAGAATTACTTTCCTAAGAGTGATCAGCGTCTATCCCCGAATGTAGCGCATGGATTGGATTTCACTAGGCCGGCTTCTGTTCGTTACTGGGTTGAAAGTGGGTTCATCAAGGCATATGACCGTGCTGAGAAGATATCACATAGGTTGCGGGAGAACAATGGTTAGAACATTCATCCACTTATCTTCTTGCACAAGTATAATATTTGCTTTTACCGTAACCTTTTTCTGTTTCTAGATAACACTGAGATGCCAGACGCAATGGAGATCATATTCCAAACTGCTTTAGTATATGGGAAAAGTGGCGCTGTAAGTATCACTATCTAAGTCCCTTAGATGGCTGATTTAGATTTGATTTCTCTATGCACATCATGGATGTTACACCTGATTTTCATTCACAATCACATGCATAATTCAGTTAATATTTACCAGGAAATTGTTCAAATGAAGTAATACACTGATGCTCAGGATTTACCACTGGTTGTCCAGGCAGTTGGTTCTCTTGTTATAAGCCTATTAGTAGAAAACTACTGTACAAAACAAGGATGAGAACGTAGTATTTTTGTATTTTAAGAAGAAATATTTTTTATGAACAATGATACAAGCAGAAATGATCATGCGTGGCAGTCCGGGCCATCTTGTCCTACTATCTAGTTTTATGAAATGTGTAATAGGCTCCTTCACACAGTTCTTGGATGCCATTTGCTGAAACACTTGCCATGTGTAATAGGCTCCTTTACACACTCCGGGTCACTCCTGAAACACATGGTCGCTGCTAAATAATGGTGTATTGAAGAGTACTTCATGGAGTGTACTTGGATATCATTTGCTGAAACACTTTGCTCTAAGTCAAGGTGATATTGTGATGACTTGCCAGAACACAAGGTTGCCACTAAGCAATAACTATTGAACATTGGAGCTGAACTGAGCATGGCTGCGCACTACACAGGCAGACAAACTGGTGGGCTCAGTTTAGTTCCAGGAGCTAAAGAGACCTTTCACATCCTTCTCTCTTCAATCTCGGAATATTATGATTTTAATGGTTCAGCAAAAACCACACTTTCCTAGTTTTCTTTAGGTGTTTGGTGACTTCAGCGAGGCCGTCCAAATAGCCCAATTCTGCATTTATGAAACTATACGAGACATAAATCATTACCCCTGCTACAAGAGCACTGTTTTTCACCATTTTTCAATTTATACATGATAATCTTACCTGTTGTGGCGTCCTTTATTTGGCTAGTTTGTGTTTCTAGGCCTTTTTGGCTCTGTGTGAGCTTTTTTCACTTTTCAGTTGGAGACTTTGAGACCTTGTTGGAACTTATTTATTTGGTTTAATAAGATGGCCGTATGCATCGTTCTGATGCAGAGGCCGGGGAGTCCCCCCTTTTCGAAAAAAAAATCTTACCTGAGTAAATGGACCAGTGGGGTTGCCTTATTTCTCATCTTGTCTGAACTCCACTTTTGATCCGTTGTTAATGTGTTATTCATGTATCGATTATAGTTGATGTTTTCTTTTCACTTTATCTACAATTATTTTGCAGACAAAGGAACTTTTGGGATGCCAAAGCAGATCAATGGCGCTATACTCAAAAGCAATCATCCTGCTCACATTTATATTGCAGGAAGCAACTGCTTTGCCACTGAATCCAGTCTTCTCCCTTTCACCATTCAATCAGCAGCGTATCCATAGGTACATAACTAATTTGAGGAGTCATCTCTGCAGTGCTCAGTTGAGCGGGCAACAGCAGAGGTCCATCAAGAACTAACTTTTCTCATGGGGATCATCGTTTCACGATCGAATGATAAGATTATTTTGCATGGAAGTCGGAGCATTAGTCCTTCCCTCCAACCTTTTTGTCCAGGAGGTGTCAAATGCATTGAAGAACTTCCGCTGGCGTGAGATTATGATGTTATATTTGCAGTACACATTGATCCACGTGCTCTTTCTTTGTATATATACGGTTCTAGGCTGTACAGTTATTTTCTGTCACGTTGAAAGGACCTTTTGGATTTGTATATAAATGTAACATGTGAAACTTGTAGATTGAAAATGGATTCCAAATCCCGCCTTTCTGCTAGCCGAGTACTTTTTTTTCCTGCCCTTCTGCTAACTGATTAATTTTTTTCCTGCCTTTCTGCTAGTTGAGTATGTGACATGGGTGAATTTTGTTTTTACTGTGATGTGTGAAAAAATATTTGTGAAAATGGGAGCTGTTGTGATGTGTGAAAAAACATATGTGAAAATGGGGGCTGTTATTTCTTCACCTCTTGGCAGTGTATTGCACGTAATTGTTCACAGTATCTTCTTTTGGATTACGACACTTTAGCTTACGTGCGTGTTGTGCCAGAGAAAAAGAAACATTTTAAGTTCCAAATCTGGAGGTATGTGGTCTTATTTTCTTATTTGATTATAAAAGGTGTTGTTGATGAGTTCTAAATTTGGATGAATTCGTTACAACCTTTTCATCAGTTAACAAAGGGGATGAAAAACCGTAGCCTGAACTTGAGGAACAGGTGAGCAAACATGTCAATTTTTCGAAAAGGGAGCAAACATGTCAATGACTGACATGATTGTTCTGTTGGGTGGAACACGTGGCTGAACTTGAAAAGCAGATGAATGGTATTGCACAGAGGCGGAGCGTGATACAAAATATAGGAGGGGCCGACGTTTAAAATGCGAAGCAAAGATAGTGAAGCACACATAAATACACGGTCTTTCAGACTTTATTTGTAGAGTCAGAACAATTTGAGACCTGGGAGGGATCTATTTTTTAG